TCCGCGACCCTCAGGGACAGTCCCCGCTGGTTTCACTGCCCGGAGTTGTGGGGACGTCTCTTCCCGGCCCTGGAGCCCTGGGCTGGGGCCTGCTGTGGGCCTGGGACCCCTCGCTCCTCTGGGAACCTCCCACCGCTGAGATTCCCTCCCGGGTTTACCCCGAGGCACCGGGTGTGGGCCCAGGGCCCCGTCCCGCCCGCGTCTCCGCCCCTCCTCCCGCTCTCGATGCTCCTTCAGCTCCCTGGTTGTGGGGCTTTTGTGCAGCCAGATCTCAGGAGGCTCTGAGTGATGGTGGTTCTGGATTTTAGTTGTGATTTTGATGTGATTGCCGAGGCGGCGGGTGCAGCTGTTACCTACGCCGCCAGCTTGTTTCCTCCAATAAGTTTTGTTAAATGTCTGGAAAACTTAATGGTAATGTCACATGGGTCTAGAATTTTCTTTGTGGGATAATTTTTATTTAATTTTTTTATTGCTAATCAGATTTTCTTTTTCTTCCTATAACAGATTTGGTGCGCTTTATTTTTCTGGGAATTATTCATTTAATCTAAATTTTCAAAATATTTATTCATACTATCCACTCATTTTTTTTCATATCTGTAATGTATAGTGATGTCTCTTTTCTCATTTCTCATTTCTTTTCTCATCTCATATTGCTAATTATTCTATCTATCTCTATCTCTATTCCTCTCTCTCTGTCTCTCTCTAATCTTTTCCTAATGTGCAGTAAAGTTATCAGTTCTGTTAGTTTTTTCAAGTAAACTATTTTGGGCTGTGTTGATTCTCTTCATTGTACTTTTTTTCTTTTCTAGCTCTCTATGATGGACACTTAAGTCATTCATATTTTATATTTCTCTTTTGTAATATATCTCTTGAATACTGTAAGTTTCCCTGTTAGCATTGATTTAACTGCATCCCACAATTTTTGATATGTTATATTTTTATTATTTATTTCAAAATAGTATCTGACTTCCTTCATAAAGTGATCTTTGATCAGTGGGCTGTGGAGAAATGAAATGCTCAATTTTTAAATATTTAAAGATATTTTGATCATTTTTGTTACTGATTTCTAGCTTAATTTCACACAAAGAATATACTCTGTATTATTCAGTCCTGTGAAATTCATTGAGATCTGCTTTATGGTCTTCCATATGTTCACTTTTCATGATGGTTCCATGTACACTTGAAAAGAATATGTATTCTGAATTTGTTGAATACAGTCTTTAAAAATATCAATCGGGTCAAAAGATTCAATTTTCATAATCAAGTTTTCAGGTCTTCTATTTTCTACCTAATTTTTGTTTGCTTATTCTATTACTTAGAGAGATATACTAAAATCTCCCAAAGTGAGTGTAGATTTATCTATTTCTCTTTTAATTTGTTCATTTTGGGGTCAATTTTATACTATCTAATTGGGTACATGCTCATTTTACAGTGTTTATATCTTCCTGATGATATCAGTATAAATATTTCTCTTTATTTGTGGAACTGTGTTTTTCATTAAAGCCTACTTTCCTATATCTAGGAAAATTTCCTTTATAATTGGTGTTTACATATTACGTTTTTCCTCATTTTTGCTTTGAACCTTTCCATATTCCTATCTTTGAAGCATACCTCTTATAAGCGATGAACATTTGATATTTCCTTTTTTATATATTTTTATTACTCTGACAATCTGATTTTTTAATTGGGGTATTTAGTATGTTTTTCTTAATGTAAATACAAAATAGTTGGGTTTAACTCTAACATCTTATTATTTGTTTCTTATTTGTTCCCCTTCTTTGGTTTCTTTTTCTTTACTTTCTTGGAATAATTAATATTATTTTATTATTCCACTTCCTCTTCTTTGTATTTGATTATCAGTAACTTAACTCTCATGGGACTAGATATGGTTTTCTTTGTATATATTTTGTTTGGAGTTTGTTGTACATATTGTCTGTGGCTTGAAGTATTTTCATTGATTTAAGAAAGTTCTTGAATATGACACCTTCATATATTGTACCAGGAAAATTCCCATATTTAGGGGGCTCACATTACACATATGTTCATGTATGTCTTCTGTGTTCTATTTTGGTTGCCGTTGCTTCGTTTTCCATCCCAGATTCTCTCCAGTCTTCTATCTAGATATATTCTACTTGCTTATATTTAGTTTCTAATCTTCAGCCATGTCTTACCAGATTTTTAAGCCCATCTACTGAATGGCAAGCTTCAGATGTTATGTGTTTCAATTCTAGAATGTCTATTTGATTTTTAAGGAATATTTGTGCTCCCTGCTGACATTCTCCATTTTCTCCTTGATTTCCTTAAAATATAATTAAGTTATATTAACAACTGTGTTGGATATCTACAATATTTTGACCTACTGTGGGTCTGTTTCTATTGTCTTTTTTTCCTCTTGTTCATTTGATCTTTTCTTCTGGTGTGCCTGATAATTGTGATGTCATGCCAGATACTCTTATAGAAAAACTAGAGAAAATTTGAGTCTTATGTTTTGTGAATACCCCACAGAAAAGATTTGCCTTTGCTTGTGGCAGGCAGTTAGGCTAGAGGCAAATCATTTTACTCAAGAAAGGGATTTGTTGTTTCAGAGTTAGTTTTCAGTCTTTTTGAGAACTAGCCTGTTTTTGGCAAGTCTTTACTTTTAGTTTGCCTGCAGCCCTTTATGCTTCCCCTGAGATCCTGGGTGTTTACCAGGATCCCTCTATCATGGTGTATCTTGAACACTAACTTTTGTTTTCCCAACCTTTTGGCCTTTAAATACACCTTCTATCTACTAACCAGATTTGCTTCCCATCCAAAAGTCATGTGTCCATTAGTCGTGCATCTAGGGATCTTGAGAGATGCTACATTTGTGATGAAGACAATTAGGAGTGATAATAAACTTGGTGTAATAATGATTACCAGAAAAATATTCAAAAATATTTTCAAAGATTTTACATGTAAAGAATAGTAGTTATAAGTGTTGGTGGGGCTAGAAAACAAATTTGTCTTGCTGGAAAAGTTGTAAGTACATAGGTAGTTATCTCAGGATTCAAAATGAAATGAATCTAAATAGCCACACACTGTTTTCATTCATTGTAACTAACATCTCTTTTCTATTACACCAGTGAGAAGAAGCTCATTACAGATGCTCTTAATAAAAATCAGTTTTTGAAGAGACTGGATCCTCAGCAGATCAAAGACATGGTGGAATGCATGTATGGAAGAAACTACCAGCAAGGGAGTTACATTATTAAGCAAGGAGAACCAGGAAACCACATATTTGTGCTGGCAGGTGGGTTTCACAGATTTTTCCAGTTATTATATAACAAATATTTTGCCTATTGTTTTATGATTTTTGCAAACATTTATGAAAATGCAAAAACAGTTTGCTGTGTTTGCAGAAAATGTAACAGATTGAGCTCATGAAATAGTAACATTGTTGATCTAATAATGATAATGATGATACTTAATATTTACTGAATGTTTTCTATGCCAAGCATCCTATTGAGCACTTAATAGAGAAATCTCATTCATCTTCTCATCAGCTCTGTTAGGCAAGTGCTGTATGTCCATGTTACTAATGTGGACTCTGTCACAGAGAGCTCACATAACTTATCCAAGGCTACACACTTCCTAAGTGGTGGAGGTAAGATGCAAACTTAGGTTATCTGCCTCAAGTCCGTACTTTTAATCACAGTATCATGCAACAACCACAGAAAGCTGTTTCCATTAGAAATACTGCTGCTTATGTTGACATTTTTAGGTGGTTGTACCAGGAAAAAGAAAACAACTATTTCTTTTGGTTTTGTAAAATATTTTGGTTTTATACCAATGATTTTAAAAGATAATTTTGGTACATTGAGCCAAAAAATCAAATGGAATGCCTTAATATTAAAACTGGTGTTTTTAGAGCCACTTAAATAGTTTCCTTCATATATGATTGCTTGAACATGCTTACATGCTGGGAAGATTATGATGGTTAGATAGGCAAAGGATCTATTTCTCAAATGCATATTAAATGCATAAGTCTTATAGTGGTATACAAGGACTTTTTTTTTAGATATAGAAGCAAGAAATTATCTAAATAGGGTTATGGCTGAATGCCCTGTTAAATTCTGAATTGCCCCAACTTTGAGTTTTAGGGGAAAAAGTTAAATTGGCTTCCCCAGATGGAATGGTAACCTAAGATGTGCTGTGAGCTTCTATTTTGCATTATAGTTCATGGCAGTCTAAGCAATGCTTCAAAATTTTCTTTATTTTAAAATTACTTTTATTATAGCCTCGCTTACACTTATACAAACATAATATGAGGTTATACAAACATAATACCAGCACATTTAGACATATCTCTTAAACAACAAAAAATACCAGAATAAATGTATAGGCTGAATATTAGCTAAAATACAGACCAATAAAGCTTAAGTTGACATTAATGTGATGGATGATATTTAGTTTTCACTAAGCACTTTTTACAGTTAGTCTCTGAATTTGGCATGTCCAGGAACAAGTGCTAATCCAATGATCTTGCCACTCCTTCAGTGATGCTTTTATAATTCTTGTTTACTTGGAGTCTTAAGTGTGTGGCAGAAGTTGCCTATCCAAACAAATTAACAAACATATATTATTCTATTTATAGTATGTAAAAAATTGTTTCCATATACTTTGATGCTTTAAACAACTCAGTCTCATAATTATTGGTTTATTATTTGCCGTCTACATCTTTGTAGAAACCCTTAAAATTGTACGGTTATTCCAAGTAATTATTTTATCCAAGAAGTGAATGATTGTCTTAATTTATGCAGCCTTCAAGTTTTGGGGGACAGGTGATCCAGAGCAATATTTCCCTCTTTTGACTTTTTTCTTGGTCATTTTACTTCTACTTTAGCAATGCTAAAACATCACGGCAAGAGAAGATAGATCATTAAGCCAACAAATATTTATGCGACCTGCTAGAAAAGGGTGAGAAGCTCATGTCAGCCCATTGTGTTCCTTGCCAGTAACTCTGATGAAAGGCTTGGGGAGAGAGGAGTTTGAACAGAAGGCAGCATCAATCCAGCCATTCAAGTCAGGGCTATAGCACACATGGAGATGAAAGTGGGACAGTTTCTTATTTGAATTAATTATGTATTATCTAAAGACTGAATTGCCTGATTCAATTGATTGAGCAAATTAATTTGCTAATTAAAAATCTGCCCTTTATAAGATATAGTATGAATAGCAAATAGTGTATTATGTTTAGCTAAATGTTTGATAGTCCATATATCTTCAGCATTGCTCAAGTCCAGTGAGACATAACCTTAGGGAAAAAACATGAAATGCGTTAAAATCTATGATACCAATTCGGCAGTACCATTAAGTGGTTTCAATGGAGTAGAATTTAGTTGTAAAGAGAAATTAAATTTTTCATATTTAATTTGTAGGATTTGGAGCCAAAACAGAGTTTATTTTTACCTAGAATATAAGTTCTGCCAGAATCAGTATCTTTTCTGTTGTGTCCAAGCTGTCTCTGAGACCCGAACCAGTTCCTGGTAGAACATACGTGCTCACGTCAGATTTGTTGAAGGGCAGATGGACAGACACCATCCAGAGCTACTTAGTGGTGGATTAGGAGAAGGGGGTTCTTCAAGGGAAGCAGAGTAACCCCACTAGGAATATAGGTTCTCTTGCATATGATTTTGTCTTGCTTACGTTTTATTTGCATTTCTTTAAAAGGAAAGGAGAATATAGTTTCCAGGGCAAAAAAAAATTGTGAGGAGATACCTAAGTGCTGGCTCTCCCTTCTCCCAACCCTTGCCTAAATAAAGATCAGTTTCAAACACTTTTCTCCTTTTGCTTTTTTGATAAATTTTATTTATTTATTTTTTTGAGTCACTTTGTTGTGTAAGAAAATTGAGAGGGAGATATAGAGATTTCCCATATGTCCTCTGTCCCCATACATCCATAGCCTCTCCTGTTATCAACATTACTCACCAGAGTGGTACATTTAAAATATACATTTTTTAACTTATTTTTTTCCCCCAAGGATGGACCTGTATTGACATAGCCTAATCACCCAAAGTTCATCGTTTACCTTAGGGTTCACACTTGGTGTTGTTCATTCTATGGGTTTAGACAAATGTATAATGACATGTATTGTTTATTATAATATTATACAGACCACTTTCATCGCTCTAAAAAATCCTCTGTTCTCTGCTTTTTCATCTCCTCTCACCCAGCCCTGACAACTGCTAATCTTTTCATTTTCTCCATAGTTTTCCTTTTTCCAGAAAGTGATATAGTTGGAATTGGTTGCTTTCACTTTGTAATATGCATTGAAGACTCCTCCATGTTTTCTCATGGCTTAATAGCCCATTTCGTTTTAGCACTGGGTAATACTCCACTATCTGGGTACCACAGTTTAGCTATTCATTCAACCACTGGAGGATAGCTTGGTTGTTTCCAAGTTTTGGCAATAAAGCTGCCATAACAATCTTCGTGCAGGTTTTTGTGTGGACATAAGTTTTCAGTTCTTTTGTGAAAATACCAAGGAATATGAAATTGCTGGATTGCATGGTGAAAGTATGTTTAGTTTTGTAAGAAACCGCCAAACTGTCTTCCAAAGGGGCTTAACCATTTCGCATTCCCACCAACAATGAATGAGAGTTCCTGTTGCTCCACATGCTTGTCAGCATTTGGTGTTGTCATTTTTCTGGCTTTTGGCCATCCTAACAGGTGTGTAGTGATACCTCATTGTTATTTTATTTTACGTTCTCCTGATAACACTTGATGCGGATCAGCTTTTCATATTGTTGTTTCCACTTTATATATCTTCTTTGATGAGTGTCAAGGTCTTTGGCCCATTTTCCAGCTAGGTTATGCTTTCTTAATGTTGAATTTTAAGAGTTCTTTGTATGTTTTGTACAACAGTCCTTTATCAGATGTGTCTTTTGCAAAACTATTTTCTTCCAGTCTGGTCTTTTTCAAGCACTCTTACTAGTGACTTCCATTTATTAATTCATTTCACTGAATGAGGGGCTAGACAACTTCTGAGGCATAATAAAGTAATTCAAGGATGTGCAGACAATGACGAGTCAGAAGCAGGCAGTCTGACTCCAGGGCCAGTACGCTTCTCAGTTATGACAGTGTGAACAGCCGTGATGTGTTTCCAAGACATACAGTAATTTGTGTTTCTCCTACAAGAGAAATTGTTGCGTGGATTAGAATGCATTTTAAATAAAACATTTGCCATAGCACCGCTTCAGAGAAAGCACATTGTAACAATGATAATATTTATAATAGCTAACACTCCTATGGCATTTACTATGTGCTAGCCATTGTTCTAAGCTCCCTACCTACATTAAGTTACGTATATCTCACAACAAATGCGTGAAGTACATATTAGCATCCCCATTATGGACAAGGAACCTCAAGAGAGAGGGTAACTCTCTCAGGGTGAACCAGCTGATGGTATGTGACCAAGCTGGTTTCAGTCTACATTCTTACCCACTTTATTACAATGAGAATACCAAGATATGTTAACTGTATGATTTGTGTACTTTCTGATTGTTTACTTTTTAAAATTTATGGAATCCAGGCAGATTTTGATCATTCGTTGTTGTTTTTTAATCCTACTTGATAGAGGGCCGAGTAGAGGTGTTCCAAGGGGAGAAACTGATCTCATGCATCCCTATGTGGACCACGTTTGGGGAACTAGCCATTTTATACAACTGTACGAGGACCGCCTCTGTGAAAGGTAATAAGAGTTGGAATGCTGTGGTTTTGAATTGTTATACAGTGTTAAAGATAATCTGCTGGGTCACTATTGCATCTGGTTTAGTCTTTTTGCCTTCCATTGTGACCCATATGCTCTTTTTAATAGAAATGCTATGTTTATAAGATTTATATTGAAGCACTTATCTAAATAATTCAAGTTTAAAAGAACTTTCCCATCAGATACCTGTATGTAAAATATGAACACGGCTTTCAGCTGAATTTTTCAATATTTGCTTTAATTGCCTCTTCACTTTTTTGCCAAGTAGACATCTGCCTTTGGCTCATCTGGAATGTTTGCTTTCCATTCTCTATGAGGTTCTGACCATATTATAAACCAGAAAAATTAATTAAACCAATGAAAATGCATAAATATCAAAAGGGCGATGAATTAATTAATGAGAGTGTTCCTGAGTGGCTTTTGAGATTAGTTTAATTGCTTCTCTTTAAGGTTCCTCTTTTGACTGCATTCAATCTCAGGTTTTCTGCTGAATCCCTCAGATGTGGGGTTTCTCAGTGTTTGGGTCTGGGTTACATGTCTCAGCACTGCTCCAGTATTTGATAAAAATACAGTTTCAGGGCTTCATTCCAAACCTGAATCAGAATCTCTGGTATTTTTAATGAGAATGTCAAGATGATTCTAATTCACTCTAAAGTTTAGTAAACCAGAATTTTGGATTTTGATCTATTTTGTAGGCTCTCATTACTCTTTTTAAAAAAATCTTACAACCATAATTTCAGATAGATTTTTTTAGCGCTGACAATTCTCTTCCTCTTCTTTTTTAGATTTTATTCTTGCTTTTAATGTGTTTCTTGTAAAAAAAAAAAAAGACTCAAAAACTATCTTCCATAATCTCTTTGAAAATCATTTGTATACTTTTTATATAATAGTAACCATAGAGATCCTTAAAATAAAAGACATCAAAACATACTCATACACCCAGAGATTTTTAACTTTCAGTTTTCTGCTTGTGAATTCTCCTTCACTCGCTGGATTAGCTACAGGCTGGCTGGCTTTCTGTCTGTCACAGCACAAATCTGGAATACATCCTGATGATGTAGTGCTTAATTGGGAAATGCAAACTAATTTTAATATCATCCTAAGCAAAACATAATTAGAAAGGAAATCTTTTGCTAGTCACGTCCAAACCACAGTTCCTATGAAAACCAAAGGTGATTTTATAAAATTGCCCACTGTTTATATCCATGGCTGCCTTCCATTTGCATGTTGAAATAATTCATTTTCTAAGAAATATCATTTTATGAGAACATATAAACATTTATTGATTAACATTTTATAATGTTTTCTTAATGTGGGGCTAAATAATATTTTATTACTTTCTTGATTTTTTTTTTCTAAAGCTATTACCAATGTTAAAACTTGGGCACTAGATCGAGAGGTATTCCAGAATATAATGAGAAGGACAGCGCAAGCTAGAGATGAACAGTACAGAAACTTCCTCAGAAGGTAAGGGTAACACCCTGGTGAGAAGAGTAGAAGACAGAATAACCATTTTGTGGAAATGTTGGTTTTATCACAATAACTATTTCACTGTAGCGTCTCTTACTTAAGCATTTTCTACATGATACAACCAGAAGTGTTCCTGTGCAGTAAATGCCACTCTATTTAATATTTAATTCCCTTTAGCCTCATGCTCTGACTTTTGATTTATTTCTCCTGCTAATTTTCCCTATACAATGGGATCATTGTATATTGTATAGAAAATTGCAAAAGAAAAAAAAAATCCTAAAATACTTACCTGGGTTGCTCAGTTGACTTTGAAAGGTATTCTATAATTTGCAAGAGGGTAGCAAAAGATAACCTTTCTAATAATGGCTTTGTTTAGAACAATTTTTTAATTATTTTACTGTTCTTACTGGCTTTACCAGAGGCATTTTTTCTCATTTGCATAGCTATACCACCCAGATTACTGTATTTGTAGCAAATTAATATGCCAAAGATATTATGATGCTGGCCATGATGGCATGGATCCTTGGAACATACTTATTTTGTGAGATATCCTATACGCCCAACTATTTAGACCAGTAAAATTATAGAGAAAGAAATACCTCGGTAACAGAAAAAGTCAGTTACACATTAAAAATTGTTTTTGAAAGTATAAGTTTCTCATTTAAATGATTTCTGTGTCTTTTGTGGGAATTTCGACAGCCTCTGAAGACACAATGCATACTGTAATGAACTGTTACCTATGATAATTGGTAATAATAATAAAATGTCTGGCAGTTTCCAAAAATAAATTCTAAGTTCTTTTTAAGTGTGGTGATTTTACCTTGCATAACTAGCCTGCAGAACCAGTGATTGGCAGTGCCTCACATATAGTGAGACTCCATAAATATTGCACGAATGCGGTGCTAATCAGTAGAACACTGCAGGCGTTGAGGTTTCTCCTATAGACTCTTGCTGGTTTACTCTCGCAGAGTCAATAACGACTCCTGGCAGAGAGCTGCAATAGTGACAAGTTAGATGCCTTACCTTCATGCCAACCAATGCCTTAGTGTAGGTGACCTCAAAATTCAGCAACTGAGCAGCACAGGCCAGCATTTAAAGGTAATGAACCGCACTTATGAAAGGGCAAAAAAAAGGGGGAGAGATAAATAAATATACCAGTGCTTGTTGGTTGCATTTGAATGTCTGAGATAAAAAACCTGAACCACTAGGCGTAGCAATTCATTCCCTTGGAGTCTGGCATGTTCTGGCTTAGCCGAAGGAGCTCAGAGAGTTTACTAGTACATATTCCTTCTTTTTTTATTTTTCTTTCCTTCCTTTCTTTTATTGTCTTATTCATGTATTCATTCAACAAATACTCATTGCCAAGACCTAAACATGGTGGATTCAGTGGTGATCAAGATAAGCCTGATCTTTGCCTTCACAGAGAGGAGACAGAAAAAAGATTTATCCTTATGCCCATTTCTTCACCCATCCCCAAAGGTATTGGTTTAGAGAATTTTCACTAACATTGTAGATCCCAGTGTGGAGCAGAAGTAGAGCTTTCATGATAGGCAAGTGTTAATCAATGACATGTTCTGGTTACCCTTTTACCTTTTCATCAATAAGGAGACGTATTGGAGAAATACATTTCTTTTCTTTCATAATAGACACTAAGCTCTTTCCTTTTCTAGTCATATCTTTTTATTATGAACTATGTGATGTATATAAAAGATATACAGTACATATGTAATTTATAAAACATAACAAAATGAGCACCATTAAGCTACTGTCTGACCCAAGAAGTAGGAGTTAGTAATGTTGTTCTGGTGAGCTCCCATGGCATTTCCGAGCTTCCCACCTCCCCCTTCTCCTTGAGGTAGCATATGTTCTGAAGTTTAGTACTAATCATTCCACTGGTATTCTTAATTATTTTGCCTATAGCTTGATTTAGCTTATTTTTGAACTTCATAAAAAATGGTATTATTTTTGCAACTCAACTTTTTTACTCAATATTTTTTTCTAAAATTCATCCGTTTGGTTAGTCAGTCATTTCTCCTGTTGTAGAGTTCTGATACTTACTGCAGTGCACTTCTCTGCTCTCCTACTGGGGGTTGTTCCAGTGTTTGGCAATTACAAATGATTCAATGCAAACATTCTCATACGTGTCTCCTGGTCATGTGCCTCTCCGTGTGCATGTGCAAGGGCCTGTCTAGAGCTCTTTTTTTCAAAAATCAGATCCAATCATGTATTTTTGAGTAGCATTTTTTTTGCCTTAGGGGTGTCAAATTTTAGATGGTATGAAAGACATATTTGTCTTATAGAAATTTTATCAGCAGTTCTAAGTAAAAATGGGTTAAGTAGAGGAGGAATTTCTCTAATAGAGCAATTTAATCATCTTGATTGGTTAATCACACTAGTGGAATTCCTGATTTTTTTCCAAAGAAGTTTCTGTATTCTATTTAATTTTCCTGTATATTATTATTATTATTTGTTAAAATGTTTCTATTACATGCCTCTGGCTATCATTAATTTTAAGACAATATAATACGACTAATCAGAGATCATTTTCATGCTAATTCCTACATTTTCCCGTGGATTCAGTCTTTACCTAACTACAAGGATTTAGATGACAATCTGATCCTCACTAGAAGCAGAGCTTCTCACGCATGCTCATAAAAGAATTGCTGAGATATGGAGAAAAACACATTTTTCTGAAGTGAGCTACTTTGAAAATCAGCAGCAAATGTAAAATCCCCCCCCCCCATGCAGACACAACTTGAGTTTTCCCTTTATGGTATCCTACCTTCTTTGCACTTGTGTATGTTAAATGTCTGTGTCTCTTATGCGTCTGTATAATTTTTAAATATTTGAAATTTAGTTACTTATGTGTGTGACATATTTGGGGGTTAACTTGGGAAAGATTGAAGTGCATTTCTAAATGCATGTTAAGATTTTTGAGTCTACTTATAGGTGTAAATTTATAGTTTAATTCAGGACTGTAAAGAAACAAATGTTTCTTTTCAATTTCAGCGTATCCTTGCTGAAGAATTTACCTGAAGACAAATTAACTAAGATCATTGACTGCTTGGAAGTGGTAAGAAATTTTAAAGCAGAAACTACCTTTTCTTAAGAGGTTGTATAATGTCATTATTAGCGCTATAAATGAGTAAAAAGGAAAAGATGGTAGATCTTTTCTGGTGGGTCTGCAGAGACATGGAGCCGTTTTCTCTTGTGAAAAACAGCAGGCCCGTTCTCACTGAACTCTGGGGCTGGGATAGCTTCAGGCAACTCTTCTGCAATATAGAGAGCAAAACTGGATTTACATGTGTCAACTGACATTTGATTTATATATTTTCATCTTTTTAGTATATTTTATAAAACCAATTTACTTTACTCAAGAGGCATTTGATTTTCTGCAGTTAACATCACAATCCCTTACAGAGATTTCAGAGTATAGAGTCGGTGATGCAAAATTAGGAAATACAGGAGGGAAAGGGGATAGTGGGGCTTTCAGTGATAGGCTTCCGAATCAAGGCTATGAAACACCTCATACTGACCACTCTAGGCCCTGAAAATACATTAGAAAAACCAAACCAAACCTGTGCTTAAGGAGCACTTTATCTATTTTAACATCTTGGGGG